GGCGGAAGGAAACGGCGCGGCGGGAAGAAAGCAAGCGAGAAGAGACCGACCGCGTGACGTGACATGTTGCGGTCGAATTTCAACGACTAATTTTTCTGTTGCCCTCTCCCCCGTTTGCTGTCGCGTTCAGACTGTCTCTAGGGATATCCCTGTCTCTGTGCGAGTTTGTTTGTGTCCTCGTCTTTGCTTTATTCTGTTTTATTTTGTCTTTTGTTTTGTTTTTTACTGGCACGTACCCCCGCCCCTTCCTTTGGCCGTCGACCTGCCTCCATGTAGTGGGAGGCTACCCCCCCAGGCTGGTGGTGCGGCCGTTCCACTAGTCTAATTATTTATTTTATTTTTATTTTATTTGTTTCTGATTATATTTTGTTTTCTTGTATTTTATCGCTCTGCTGACCCTTGGGGTCCATTTTATTTTGGTATACCTTTTCTTCTAGGTACGTTAGCGTGTGACCACGGAAATTGGCCGAGTCAAGTGATGGATTAGTACGGAGAGATTGAGACAGAAGGAGGTACTGGATAGAGAGACCGGGATGGTTTTTAATGTGAAGACAACAACAACAACAATACATACAGCGGCATCTTTTTTTTTTCCTATGGTCTGTTCGGGCAAATATTCACGATTATCTTGTTTTTCGCGATGTCTTTCGAAAAAAAACGATTTGGAAAGTGAAACAACTTTGGGCGTGACCGCGGCGTCGAGCTTCGTCGATATCCGATGAGTTTTTGGTGATTGGGTGAAATGCGACATTTTTGATCAAAATGACCCACGGAGCCCCCCCCCACCCCTTCATGACCCCACGGAGCTCCCAAAGTACACCACGAGCCCCCCTCAACCCCTCCCTTCTACACGTACATATATATATGCCTTCAGAACATCAATCAGTTAAACCGTTGGCAATCCATATTATTATTATTTACATTATTTACACGTTACATACATATGTACATACATATGCGTACGTACAACTTCAGATTGTCCCCCTGCGTTTGCTTCTACGTGTGTTTGTAAACTGACGAAGATTGCATGTCCTACAACTAACAGGGTGCGACACACGAAACGCCCGACTAACCAACAGTACCCAAAACCTTCGTCTGCACCTTCCCAACATGACAATTTGAGACACACAAGACAGCTGCTACCAAACTGTTTTAAATTGTTGAGCCTGTTATTTATCCGCAGGGGAGATGTCCCTATATATATGCTGTCTGGGAAGTCGTAGACATACAGGAAGTTTTTTCTGACGCTATGATTCCTTTGATAATCTGTCCCTGACTCTTATCAATGATAGAGATGGACTCGATGTGTCATTAAGAAAAAAGAAAAACCTGACCCTATGATTCCATTGTTAATCTGTCTCCGACTCCTTTCGATGATAGAGATGGCACATTATTATCCGCACATACTCCCCACATATGCATACCAAACTGAGAATATGTTTGTAAACTGATGGAGATTGCATGTCCTACAACTAATAGGGTGCGACACACAAAACGTCCGACCGACTACCTACCCAACAGTACCCAACACCTTTCGTCTGCACCTTCCCAACATAACATATATGAGACACACAAGACAGCTACCAAACTGATTTGTTGAGCCTGTTACCCACAGGGGAGATGTCCCTATATGCTGTCTGGGAAATCGTAGACACACAGGTAGTTTTCTCTGACGCTATGATTCCATTGTTAATCTGTCTCTGACTCTTTTCTATGATAGAGATGGACTCGTTGTGTCATATTAAGAAAAATAAAAAAAAACGACTGACAGCCAGACCTGCGGCTGAACGGTTGTCGGTTCGGTTGAAACGGTCGATATCGATGTAAATCGACATTTTTGCCGCACTTTTCAAACTCGATAGTAGTACTCTCTTCTCTTCCCTCCTGCGGCTACACACGAAGCAGATGCATACACGATACACACGCTGGTCTTTGATGGACACCGCTGGGTCGGGCATGCACCGTAGTTGCCCAGACTATTCTCGCGTTCCCAGTAAGTGAGGTCTAGACGATACCACAGTCAATCGGCGATGGGACGAGATCACGTGAAGGTTTGCGTGCGAACAAGGCCCACGTCTACCTTTGCACAAGATGCAATCATCATTGACAAGGAAGCACAGGTTCTTGAAAGGCATATCTCTAAGCACCGAAATACTACCCGTCGAGATACTTGAGTACCACAACACAGTCGAAGGGGGTGCGGTGTTTTTTTAGCAATAAGCACAGGGAGGTACTGTAGTGGGTGAAGCGCAGCACCTCAGCACGAGCACCACTACAGCACCAGTAGTTAGATGGAGTCAACGCCTGTGCGTATGTGAAGCTCGCCCGAAGGAACCTCAACGGTGTTTTTCACAAATCTCCTCAATGCTCATTGCGTCGATGAATTTTTGTACTCAAGGTACCTGAAATAGTCGTACAGCAGTATGTAGATCTACAATATTTGTATTGTGAGACCGTGTATGGCACAAGATAAATCACCCCCTGGACCAATTTTCAAAGCTCGATTACGTCACGACGAAGAGAATGCATGACTGAAACCATGCATCTTGGAAAGCTCTCGACAAGACAGCTTCAACGCCACCGTTTTTGCGCTGTGACTCTATCTGCTGTTGAGAAATCGAGATCCGAAAATCGGCCCAGGGTGTGTGATATTTTGAGTCATTTACGGTATTTTTCTGCGACACATGGCAATGTGCGTGTCACGCCAAGACGGTTACCCTCGGTGGCACAAAGTATAATACTGTAGTACATCACCCTCCTGGACCAATTTTAATCTTGATCGCTCCACGACGAAGAGGATGCACAAATATTGTGATGACACGTTGTCGGAAATTTCTCGATGAGACGGTTCCAACACCGCCACCTTCGGCACCGCCGCTGTTTCAATTTCTAGACTGAGGAGTTCGGGCTACACACCAACACCCCCCCGCCCCCCCCCCGATGTTTATCTTATCAGTGTTTTGAGTGTTTTGGGAGTGTAATCAGGTGTAAACACCTCACAGACTTTACAACGCCAGACCTAGTTGGTTGCAACTTGCGCACGCAGCGGTTGCACGGCGTAATCAGGCACTTTCGCTATCGATCGTGTTGATGCATATCCACGAAATGTCCCTAGAAGCTCGTGGGCTCACGTCCTTCAAGGATGCCAACGAATGCAAATGTTCAGAGGGGAAGCGTGACTGACCGTCGTGGCAACGATCTACAACAGCAGCAAAACAACCAGTATGGCTGGGGGGGTTGATGAAGTCCTTTCATTTCGTGCTCGGTGGAAGACCAGCGACAAAACTACTGTATCTTCTTCCGACAATACATGTGCTTCTTTCGACAAAGGTGTTGGATTGGAGGTAAACTAATTAAACACGAACGAACGAGCCGTTCTCGGTTCCCTGTTTGATCTGCTTCGGAACAACCTGCGACGAGACTCTCTTTCGAGTGATCACCTTGATTATGGGTCCACACAAGTGGGTGGTCAGATCGGCGTCACTATGAATCCAATGCTGCCTGCTTTGGAAAAACGTTCTTGAACAACAAAATCGCAGACAATTACCGTCAACCATGGCACGCTGGAGCAAGAGGCAGAAATCGCCGCCACCGGGATGCACGACAATCGCCAAAACTCCTTCCGCTTCCAGTTCCATCACGTCTTGCACAACGCTGGCCAGGACACCATTTACGATGGGCTTGCCCGGGACGTCGTCCAGGGTGCAGTCGACGGCATAAGCGGTGAGCCGGGAAAAGACGGCAGGCGTTGAACTACCAAGGAATGATGACACAGAGTCTAGGTGTCTTGTTTCTATGTCCCGTCCGTAAACGATGCACGAGGATATGATTGCGAACGGCGGAGGTTATCTCGCTGTCGGTACTTGTAGGCTCACCAGCGGGTTTTGTATTCCCTTCTCCTCGCTCACCTCCAAGCACAGGGAATGAATCTCCCAAAGCACTTTCCAGCCTCCGTGTTCGGCCTATTCGTGCTTTTGAGTAACATACATGTTAAGGGTTTAGCTGTCTGAGGGTGGAAGGTTCAGTAGGCTTTCGGTCATCGTTTCCTTCGTAGTTGCGGTTGTCCTGGTTCGTTGATGATGTAAGAACCTGCGCACGACACAAACAAACACCTTCGGCCGCTCAGTGCACGTGGAATGAAGTACGGGAATCTATACCGCCTGGATGGCTGTCCTGTAGGCTTCGACTCCGATACATGCTGACTTTCGTCATATACATAGTACTGTAGTACCAGGTTGTTGGGGGTTGGAGAGTGAATTTTTTCCCTCTGTCGGTCATACCAGGGTGCATCATGACCTACGGGCAGACCGGCTCGGGCAAGACTTTCACCATGTCTGGAGATTCCGGAAACTACCAGGTATAGAGCTCGTGATACTCTGTGGTTGTAGTTCGGTCCCTACTCCGACAAGAGTGTTGATGCAGCTATTTCCGAGCCTGATTTTGATTCATCTGTGTTTCGACGACGAAATATTTTGCCGAAGGCGTGGCGATTGTTCTGGGTGCCGCACGTCGAAGAATTGGGTCCGCCAAGTGATCGTCCTCTTAGTGCAATCGTTTCGTTCAACACAGTCTTTCTGGAAAAACAGTCACTTTCTCCTCAGCACCGGATGGCATGCTGTGCAAGTATTCTCGCCTAACAAAGTCAGGCGCGCATGAACACGGCAGAAGTTGTCATCAAGGGGAGCTTGCGACCACGTGAGAATTTACGCTAGTAGCAAGTTGTGGAATATTTAGACACAGGTCGATTCTCAGACCCGTTTCGGTGCACGCCCTTTGCCTATTCTAGCACGTGCTGATCGTTTGCAGGAGATACATCACATACTGATAGTTGCGACAGCGATACGTTTCAGAACATCCTTCATCACATCCTTATGTGTCCTACAGTTGAAGGGGGGTGCTTCTTATGACACCTACCTGACATTCAACGTTAATATTTTCTGTGCTCGCTTTCTTGCATCTCCCAACCCTGCCGGTGCCTGGTCTCATCGCTCGGACGGATCCGAAGCACCGTGGCATATCCCCCAGAGCTCTGACGCACGTTTTCCAGGAAGTGAACGCTAGAATCGAAACCGCCTTTAGCGTCAAAATAACCTACATGGAGATCTACAACGAGAAAATATTCGACCTCCTCGTGGACCCCGCCGTCAACGCCACGAAGGTGATGAAATGGGGGCGGGGAGCTACTGTAGAGGCACTTGTTTCTGTTCCACATTTTTCTCGCCGGCGGTGGCATGACGGTTTATTTGGAATTGACTTCATCAAAGGTTGGGAGCTCAAGGACGGTCCATGTGCAAGCCTTGATACTTTTCTAAAGTAGCGCTGACTCGCGATCAGCACCATGCACCTCCTCGCCATTAGGTTGCCTTGCCGAAAGCCGTTGTCCTATCACGCGCCGATGATCTCTTTGCATCAGCGTACCTCACAGCTTCACCTCGGACGGCTCTCTATGTGCCTACAGATGTGCGGAAAATATCTCAATATTTCATATTTCAATATTTTGTATGTCAATATTTCCTCGAGGCAAAACACTTCCCCTAACTGATAGCCAGACAGGTAGACAGAGTACAAACAACGGTAAAGTTGGGGAGATCTATGGTTCTTGTTCGGCGGTGATCCCTCCAATCAAACCGCTCCCAAGCAAGTCCTTCTCTTTGAGCCTTCCCGGCTGCCGACGACGATAAATAGCCCGAACCCTCCTTCTCCTCGTGCGGTGCTGTCTATGAAAGGGAGAGTACACCATTGCAGAAGATCGGGCTGGAAGGGGAGTGTTTGTCAGGGGCCTGACAGAGGTGGAGGTGCGTGCAGGAGTGCCAACTCGGGCAACGCATAACGAAAATATTTTGGCCGCTGTTGGAACGTACTTTCGGAAGAGGTACAAACCCTGCATCAGGTCACAAATTCCAGACGGGGACAACAGCAGTCCTCTCTTCTGGGCGCTTTAGAGTCTTTCGACTTACAACTTTATAACTGTGGGTGATTGCTCGATTAGAGCCAATCCTGTTGTTGTGCAATCTGATTCACGCTTAGGCCTGGCTCCATTCTTTCTGCGAGCGAGGTTGATTTCCACAGTCTTGGTGGTGAAGGATAGACGGTCACGTCCCCAAGCGGCGATAGGGAGTTCTTGGCTTTGCGTCAGGGGAATACCCGCACGCAAGAAGCGGCAACACGCGTCTTGCACGACGCAGAGTGACACTTGTTGAGACCGTGAACGTTGCCATTGGCCGCCTAACCCGATATTTGGCGTCGTCCTCAGAGGTGAATGACGCTGAAGGAATGTGGATAGGCTGGCTTCCTCTAGGATAACACTGGAAACAACGATACTTAACGGGCGACGTGAGATCCTCGTAGTTTCTTTAAAGACAAGCGTTTAATATGACTGTGTCGGTTTGCCGCCTACATCGCCGATCCAAGAGTTTCTCAGTTTGATGCCCCCACTAATCCACGGGCGGCTGTAACCAACTACAATATCGAGGGCCTCATCGACGGTCATGACAATAGCCATATCGTCGGTAGTTCTAACGATCCAACCCACCGTCGAACAAACCTTCCAATCAACGGTCAACCCAGGTCAAGTCCGAGCAAGAGGCCTTGAACCTTCTGTACGGGGGAGAGCTGATGCGCACAACCGCTCAGCACAACCTCAACAAGAAGTCGAACAGGAGCCACTCTATCTTCACGGTGTACGTTACTCAGAGGGCCAAAAGTGGCGTCAGTGAAAAGGTGACAAGATCCTCGGAGCGCAAACAAATCGTCGTTTTTCCGTTCGCTATCTTCCTGTTTTCACCCTCCTGGTGTTCGGGACAATGGTTCTTGTGCTTGCGTCGTTTCGCTTTTT